GTGTGTGTGTGAGAGAGTGTGTGTGAGCGCGCGCGTGTATGTGAGCGCACGTGTGTGCATCTACTTGTGTTACATCAAAAACATTCAATCTCTGTCGGCTCTCCACCCTGCTCACAGAGCCAGCACAAAAGGGGGGAGACAAACAAGTAGACAGTCACCCAGCCGCAGAACTCAGCTTCGTATTCCATTTCTCCTCTCCTTTCACGCGTGCCATCCACCCAGCCGCAGAACTCAGCTTCGTATTCCATTTCTCCTCTCCTTTCACGCGTGCCATCCACCCAGCCGCAGAACTCTGCTTCGCATTCCATTTCTCCTCTCCTTTCACGCGTGCCGAAGTCAGAGACAAGAAACTTGCTCACTCGCTCACTTACCCTCTACCTTGTACTGTCCCTGAGGTTTTATGAACCCCGCATAATTTAGCAATATTTGATCTTTTTTTTTTTGCACAATTTCTGATTATTGTCCTTTATCATTCTTTGTAAAAATGAACAGAATCGAATAATTTCACAATTTAGGGCTCAGTTTGCATAATTTCATAATTTTTCTTGCATAAAACGACAGGGACAGCTTGTAGAAAGGCGAAAACCAAAACCCACCAACAATTCCCATTCAGACGGATGTAACAGTAACAAAAATTGGATGCTGTTTTCAGTCACAAGCGTAGTATGAGAAAAAAAGGAAACAACCCCTGAACATTTTCCATTCCCTGGTATCTGATGGGTGGGCTATGGTCCGTAGTACATCACCAGATCCAAAACCCCAAACACCAATTCTTACACAATTCTTTAATATACAATTAGCCTGGCCTTCATCATCGTTACCATTATTATCTTCATCAATATCATCATCATCATCATCATCATCATCATCATCATCATCAATCACTGACAAACAAACAAAAAGTTTTCAAATAAAACCACACCCTTCTCTTCTTCCAAATGTCTCTTAAACAAAACAAAAAACCCCCCAAAAAAACCCAAAAAACCCACCACAAAATCGCCAGAGCATTGGAATTTGCCAAAATCGCAACAACAAAAATATAAAGAAACCATCATCATCCACTTCACATCCCACAGAATTCTTTTTGTCGTCAGAAAAAATGTTGTTGTCATCAGAAAAAATGTTGTTGTCGGCTACCAGCGTAGGTAGACCCGACCAGAGTCGGTCGGCCTATGGTTGAACACGATCACTTCCTGCTGCCAGTAACTGGCTGATGATGACATCACTAAAGTTCACCCGATTGGTCAAAACACAAATGTCAATTGCGTCACGTTCTCTCCATCATAAACATCTTCAGAGCAAGAATTTCCAGCACTTTCTTTCTCCTCTCCGGTCCTTGGCCTACAAGCCACACATCCAGGCTCCCGACTTCAATGTCTCAAAAACATTTTTGGGTCAAGCTCGGAAACCTATCACGGGTTAAAAAGAGGGAGAAAAAAAATTCTAAAACAATTCTGAAAAGTATTTCCAGATCTTGCATCAAAATTTGATCTCCAAAACGGCTACGTATTGATGACAAATTTGAAACAAACTTTTGCTAAAATAGCAACACATTGGATACAATATCCAAACAAGCACTGCTCTATAATGTGCAGACAAATCCGTTAGCTCATCTCTCAGACCATCTCTCTCTACGACTCCATTTCTTCTGTCTCTCCATGAATTCATCCCGACACTTTTTATCATAACCTGCAGAAGTCTTTGGATACCGATGTGTTTGTTATCGCATTCTGGCATTCTTCTTCTTCACAAGACCTCTCCAGCTCCATCACTTTCTGTCTGGTTACCTCTCTCTCTCTCTTCGTAAGTCAATCCCTCAACCTCTCTCTTGTCTCTTCATCTCCATCCTTTTCTCTCAGTCAATGCATTTCTCTCTCTCTCTCTCTCTCTCCCCGTTTCCACTGCCTCTCTCTATCGTGCTCTCTCCTCTTTCTTTTTGTCCCCTCTGTCTCTCTCTCTTGTGCTCTCTCCTTTCTCTCCTCTCTTCTCCTCTGTCTCCTTTCTCTCTCTCTTTCTGTCCATCTTCCTCCTTTCTCTCTCTTTCTGTCCATCTTTCCCCTTTATCTCTTGTCTCCTCTCTCTCTCTCTCCATCTTTCTGTCTGTCTGTCTCCTTTCTCTCCTCTCTCTCCATCTTTCTGTCTGTTCGTCTCCTTTCTCTCCCCCCTCGTCTCTCCGAGCACAAGGTCGAGCGCCCAGTCTTCACTTGGTCGACAACCCCACCAGACAGGCGCGCCCTCCGCTGACCGCTGGTCTAAGGGGGCAGCAGCGTGTGTAGTCGGTACCGCTCCCGGATCTGCGGCCGCACATCCTGTCTCTGCGAATATCAAAACACAACAGTCCGTTAGTTTGGTTTTAGTAGAGGTTTTAGTTAGTTTTAGTAAGAGTTTTACGGCGTTTGCAACACAATAAAGTCATATAAGTGCCGAAGATTAGAGATGTTACAAGAGAGTAACGAACACAATAAAGAAGGAGGGGAGATCAGGATGAAAGATGCTTTAAAGGAAAGAAGGAGCAAACCACACCAGAACACCTGCCAACCACCCACTAGTAGAGGATTTACTGCGCTCGCAATTGCATAAGGTCATATGAGCGCCAAGGGGAGGATGTCAACAGAGAAGTCCTTACAGGGAATCAGACTTACTCTGTTCACCTCTCTAGCTTCAACAGCACAAAGTCTGCTTCGACTATCATTACTATCAAGGCACCCCGGAAATAGCAATTTACAAGAATGTGACAAACATACAAAAGAAGTAGAGGAAAAATGATGATAGTGAGGATGAGGAAAGAAAAA